TGGATATTATCCTATCATAGACAGCGTTGTACCTCATGACTGATCTGGATATGTTCTTTTTGTCAATGAATACAATACCATTCCTCTTCAATTTGTCATTCCCGGCATAGTAAACCATGTGTTTGTCAGATTCAAAATGGCCAATACCAGTCCATTTCAGCTCACTAATGCCTAAGATATTGATGTTTTTGAGCTCCATTTCATTTTTGACAATTTCTAATTTTCCTAGATTCATACTTCATACATTCCATGTTCCAATTTTCAATGGATGTTTACAGCTAATTCTCCTCATTTTGAGTTGTGCCCCATCAGCAAATTAAGGTCCCGTGGGCTTTTCTCCCATGCACTTTTCTGCATTCGCATCTTCATGGTCAACTTTACTTGAGGAGGCAGCTCTTCCCTATTTGCATTTTGAGTGCATTCCAACATGAGGGGCTCATTTTCCGGCACTATATCTGACAGTGTTTCTCTACTATTCATAAGGTTTTCAGTGACTAAATATTTGGAAGTAGTTTGTCACTCTTTATTCCTAGTCTGTCTTCATCTGGAAGCTCATCTGAAACCTGTCCATCATAGGTGACCCTCCTGGTATTTAAAATACCAGTGACATAGCTTCCAGAATCACAGCAACTCACAAGCCACCACACTACAACAAACTGACAGACGAGTGGTGGACTATATATATATATATATATATCATGGTCAACTCTACTTTGAGAAGGCAGCTCTACTCATATTTTGATTACCTTCTAACCTGAGGGGTTCATCTTTATCTTCCGGGAGTGTATCTGACAATATTTTGGTGCTTTTCATCTTTTATGTAAATGTGTGTATGTGTGTGTGTCCTGGTGTGGTGCTGTGGGCTAATGTGCTGGATTGCAAGGTCATTTTGAGCCACAAGTTCAGCAATTCAAGGTCACCTGCTGCTCCTCGGAAACTCTATAAAGGGTTGCTTTGGGTTGGAACTGGTATACAGGATATATATAGTGGTGTAGTGCTGTGGAGTCAGTTCTGACTCATAGCCACTCTGCATAGGGTTTTTGAGGCTGTAAATCTTTTTGGGAGCAGAAACAGCTGGTAATTTCAAACTGCTGATTTTGAGGTTAACAGCCTGTCTCCTAGCCACTACACTACCAGAACACTCTCTCTCTATGTGTGTGTGTATGTATATATTATTACACAATATATATGTTGTTGTTAAGGGCCGTCGGGTTGATTCCTACCCATAGCGACCCTGTGTAGGGTTTCAAAGGAGCAGCTGGTGAGCTTGAACCACCAACTTTGCAGTTCAAATGACTTTGCAGTCTGATGCATTAGCCCAAAGTGCCACACCATGACTCTGGTATATTATAAACCACATTTAAAACTTCTCAGTAGTGCTGGTAGTGTAGTGGTTATGAGCTGGACTGCCAACCTCAAGGTCAGAAGTTTGAAACTTCCAACTGTTCCATGGGAGAAAGATGAGGCTTTCTGCTCCAATAAAGGTTTCCAGCTTCAGAAACCCTATTCAGGATCACTA